AGGCGCTGCGGAGAGTCACCCTACAACGGGTGTGAACTACGAAGGAGGGCACAGGGTTGTGTGGGTGATCGTAGCGCTCTAGTAGCGTTCTAACAGAGTTCGTACTACTTGCTGTGTTCACAGAGGAATTTGGCAAGAGTTTCCACTAAGGAAATTGAAAGAACATTGAAAATTGAGAATTAGAGTACAAGAATGAGCATGCAAAGTGATATCTCTGGAATGGCATTGCAACCCCTAGCAACCATTCTGCAAGGCGAATAACCAGCACTGCATCAGAGCGGTTCGCCAACGCTGAAACAGAGCGGTCTGCCAGCGTAGCAGAAGGGCGACATGCCAGCGCTGCAGCAGGGCGGCCTGCCAGCGCTGCATTCGCAGGTGAATATCTGCGCAGGTGTGCACCTGCCGAGTAGGTGCAGGTAGACGGTTACACCGTCAGAGACATTGCGCAGGTGCCAGGTAGAAAACGCTCCGACGGTTTCCCCAGATGTCCGCCGTCGAGCACGTGATGCCATTTCGGAGGTCGAATTTCGCTAAGAGCCACCTGAGCGAATTTCGCATGCCCTCGCAGAGTTTCGCAGTCGCGCGAATTTGGCCGACCAGTTCGCCGAGCTGACGCTCGCCGAACAGCGCCCTTCGATCAGAGAACGCGGCTCCTCGGACAGCACCCCGTCCGTCAGAGATCGCGCGACCCAGAAGTAGATCATAAGACGAGCTCGTCGAACAGCACCCCGTCGACCAGAGCTTGCTGACGGGCTGGTGAATCAGAGGACAACCTTCCTCGAAAACCACCCGCGGTTTCAGAGGACGGGCTGCTCCAATGCGACGATCACTTCGTCGAATTCACCACGTCGTCGCAGAGAATGCCTACGCCCAAGCGAGGGCGGGGCCTTTCACTCCGACACTCCCCTGCCCAGCTCACGCTTGGGCCCCCACACACAAGGTCCACCCAGAACCTAAGTAATAGAATACAAGGGGACGTTTCTCTGGCGTGCATACTCCCGCACGCCGATCACCGCACCAGCCATGTTAGAGGACATGGCACCTACTGCTGCACGTCGTCGTCGTCGCCGACTTCGGCAAGGCGAACCTGGCCGACCGCGACAGAGCACCGGTTGAAGGCCGGAAAGTGCAGCCCTTTCGTGAGGAAGTCCGCCGGCTGCTCGGATGTCGGGATGTATTCCAGCGCAATCTTCTTGCGCTTCACCATCTGCTGCAGCCAAGCGTAGCGCCGCTCCATGTGCTTGAGGTTGCCCTTGAGCCCCAAGCCTTCAGCGACAGCGATGGCGGACTGATTGTCCACGTTCAGAGTAGTCGGTGTTTCAGCATCAAGGAGCTGGAACTCGGCGAGGAGGAATCGAAGTCGACGGGCCTCCTTGCCTGCTTCGGTGGCCGCGATGTACTCCGACTCTGTAGAGGACAGAGTCACGCACTTGATGCGTTGGCTCGTCCAGGAGACAGCTGCGCCGCCGAAGATGAAAACGTAGCCACTTGTGCTAGTGCGATTCTGCTTGTCGCCAGCGTCGTCCGCGTCCGCGTAGCCGACCAGTTTCAGAGTTTCGGGTCCTCCTCCGAACTCCAGAGCGAAATCGCGCGTGTCAGAGAGGTAGTTGAGGCAGCGATCGACCTCGCGCCAGTGCTGATCGCTCCTCACCGTCAGACCAGATCCCAGCTTGCTACACGCAAAAGCAATGTCGGGTCGAGTTGTCGTGGCAGCGAACTGCAGAGAACCGACCTTCTGACGGTACTCCTCCTCTTCGCGCGACTGGAAGTCCTCATCGTCGAAAGTCAGCTCCGCGTAAGCGTCGACGGAAACAGGCGTCTTCGGACGCCGACCAGTCTGCTCCTCGTCGATGAAGCGCCTACGCAGCTTGTCGACGTAGGACTGCTGGTGCAGCCACAGCTTCCGCGCCGGACGGTCGCGCACGATTTCGAGCCCCAAATACTTCTCGACCGGGGTGATCTCGCGCAGCTCAAATGCAGCTTCTAGCAGCTCCTTCAGCTCCTTCAGCATCGCGGTGCTGCTGCTGGCGGCGAGCAGGTCATCGACGTAGACGAGCACCCAGCACGCCACTCCGTCGTCGCCAACTCTGAAATAGAGAGCCTCGTCAACCTGGCTCTTGCTCCAGCCAGCGCCCGTCAGAACAGCGTCGAGCGCCGAGTACCACAACAAAGGACTCTGCTTCAGCCCGTACAAACTCTTCAGCAGCTTGCATACGCGGCCAGTGCCATCGTTGTAGTAAGCCGGCTGGTCCATGTAGAGCACGCGATCGAGCTTGCTCTGAAGAAACGCATTCTTCATGTCCAGCTGCATGAGGTGCAGGTCGAGGACGGCGACAATGCTGAGAAAAATTCGCAGCGTGACGTAGCTCCCGACCGGTGCATACGTCTCCTCGTAATCAGCTCCGTAGACCTGCGTAAAGCCCTTGACCACCAGGCGGGCCTTTTCGCGAGCGACCGTGTCGTCGACGTGATAATTCCTCGTCAGAACCCAGCGGTTCTTCATGACATTGACGCCGCGCGGACGCTCGACCAGCTCCCATGTGCCGTTGGTGATGAGACTTCGAATCTCCTCGTCCATCGCCGCTTTCACCGCCTTGCCCTTCCAACTCGCTAACGCCTCCTTCACTGTCATGTTAGCGATGTCCCAGCGATGCTCCGGGTCGGCGTGCATATCAGGGTCGAGCTCTGGAACGTTGACGTCGAACTGCGCATCATCGAGCAGAGTGCTGTAGGAGGTCGGCGGCAGGCAAGCATGGTAGCTCAGCTTCTCGCGAGGCTTGCCAAAGTTAGAGCGGGTGGAACGTCGAACTGCGGGCTTGTCGGCAGAGACTTCCACCACGTCGCTGTCGCTGGACTGCTCCCCGGCTGACAGCTCCCCTTCATCGCCGCCGATGACTTCAACAACGTCGCTCGAGGTGCCTTCATCGAACTGCTCCCCTGTCGTCCGCTCCTCTGAATCGAGCTCCTCGTTCGACGGCTCCCCTGTCGGCGGCTCCTCTGAAGCGAGCTCCTCGTTCGACGGCTCCCCTGTCGGCGGCTCCTCTGAAACGCGCTTCCCGTTCGACGTCGGCGGCTCCTCTGAAACGCGCTCCCCGTTCGCCGGCTCCCCTGTCGGCGGAGACTTCACTCCGTCGCCGTCTTGCTCGCTGACCAGATCACGTCGACCGCCAGCGATGCCAATGGGCGGATCCGAAGGTGACGCACCAATGCTCCCCTCATCGCTGGCGGCCGACGTTGAAGCCGACTTAGGCAAGCCGGCGGCGAGCGATGGGAGGGAGGTAGGGAGAGGTGGAGGAGCGTTCGAGGAGGGCAGAATGGGGGGAGCGGGATCATCTGAAGGACCATCGTCCTCGGATTCGAGCAACGAAATCACCGCTGGCGATGGATCGGTCGGCAGAGAAATCTTCGTCCGCTCGGACACCGGCCCGTGCTCCGCCTTCCACTCCGCCAGAGACATCGTCTCGTAGAAAATTGCCTCCACGGTTGTGACAATGCGGTTGTCAGTGAGATCGAGCACCTCCCAGCCCTTGCTCTCTGACGAAACACCAAGGTGAATGCCCCACCGTGCCTTCGGCGCCAACTTTCCGCCGCGCTGCTGCTCCGGGACCATGAACTGCACCATGCAGCCCCACACTCGTGCCAGCGTAAGGTCCGGCTTTTGGTCGAACAGCAGCTCATACGGCGTCGTTCTCGGGGGAAGGGAGGCCCGTTCGAGGCAGTTGCGCACCCAGACGGCGTGGCGAAGAGCGAGGTGCCACCAGTGATGCTTCACCCCCATGTGAAGCAGCATCGTCCGCACAGATTCGACGACCGTGCGCATCTCCCGCTCTGCCATGCCATTCTGCTGTGGGGTGTAGGGGCAGGTGAGGTTGTGGAGGATACCCTTGTCCTCGACAAGTTCGGTGAATTTCCTGCCAAGAAATTCGCCTCCGCGATCCGAGCGCAACCTTTTCACCGTCATCGAAGTCTGTCGCTCCACTTCCTTCAGCCACTTCTCGAAAACGACCAGCACGTCGCTCTTCTTCGCGATCGGGCGAACCCACACAAAGCGGGTCTTGCGGTCTTTGAGGAGGAGGAAGTAGAGGCTCCCATCTGCGGCGGCCACACGGAAGGGGCCACAGAGATCAATGTGCACGACATCGAGGGCGTTTGCAGCCTCTGATCCCATCTCTGGAAACGTATGACGCGCCAGCTTGCCGCCGACACAGGAGGTACACGGCACGTCAGCTCCAGTGGACTTCTCGATGTCAAGGCCGATGGCAACTTCATGTTTCGCCGAGCTCAAAATCGTGTCAATGCCGACGTGCGCAAGCCTCGCGTGCCACTTAGCCGGCTTTGACTTCGTCGCCGATGCGATCGTCCGCAGAGCAACTGCTTCTGTCGCAGATGTAGTCGATTTCGAGGAGCAGGGGCGAAGGTCGGTGCAGAGAACTCGGCCGGTGTAGCGTGCTCGACCGAGCACATCTCCTGCAGCAGAAACGAGCAGCATCTCGTCACCCTCGTGCTTCAGCTTCACGCCGTTTTCCTCCAGCTGGCCAGAAGACAGTAGGTTCGCGTGTACGCCCGGAACGTACAACACGTCGGGGATGAGAACCTGCTTCCCAGTCTCCCCTTTCAGAGCAACTGTGCCACGGCCTTCGACGTTCTGAAGCGCCCCGTTGAATCCGCGCACGTGACGGATTTCTCCTCTTGGCTTCATTTCGACGAAGGCCTCCCGCGTTCCCATCAGATGATGGGAACAGCCGCTGTCGAGGAGAACCACAGTCGGATTCGCCTGGACAGCTGCTGCGACCGCCTGGATTTCTTCGCCAGCCTCCGGCGCCAGCGAAATTGTTGGCTCGACCACGCCAACCATCGAACAAGAGGCTTTCTTTTCGCTCGAAGCATCACCCTCTGATTTCGACGCCGTTTTCGAGGACGCAGGCTTCTCCTTGCGCGGCTGGTTGTCTCGACGACGACTGTCGCTGTCAGACTTCCCGTCCTCTGAACGACTGGCGTTGTCAGACTTTCCGCGGCTCCCTCTCTGATTGTCGTCGGACTCGTCGCGATCAGGGCAGTCGTAGGAGAGGTGGTCACGGTCTCCACAAATGTAGCAGCGGCGTCCTCCTCGACGCGAAACACTGCTTCCGCAATCATTGTCCTTCGCCGACTTTCCGCGGTCGGCGCTCTCCGTAGACTTGGTGTTCGACGACTTTCCGCCACCGCCTCCACCTCCGCCCGACTTCCCACGCTGCCCCGTCTGACGTCCCTGCTTCGTCGGAGCAACGTAGTTAGCCTGCGGAAGGAGCTCTGAAGACCGCTCAGACTCCTGCATAAACTCGTCCTGGATGATGTGGCTCGAAAGGGAGTCCTCATTCAGAGTCTCGCGCGTGCCGGGCATGATCAGCATCCGGCGCATCAGATTGTAGCTCGAGGGAAGGCCGTTGATGACGTGTGTGACATACGACGCCACCGAGTACTCGAAACCAGCCATCCGCATGTCGGCCAAAATTCGCCGCGCTCGATTGCAGTACTCGGTCGCCGATTCCTGCTCGCCCATGCGAATGGTGGCCAATGTCCTCTCCAGTTGGCTGATGTAGAGGTCGTCGGTCGCTCTGTAGGTGCGCATGATGTACTGCCACGCTTGGTAGCCGGCGTCCACTTGAAGTCGGCACTGCTTCAGCGCGACTTGCACCAGCGGCGAACAGCACCTCGAAATGACCATGAAGGTCAGAAGATGAGCAGCGCGAAATTCCGCCAACATTTCAGAGTCGTCTTCGTCCGGCATCTCCACCTTGCCGTCAACGAACTTCTTCAATCCAGCGATCTCCAGTTGGGGTTCGATTGACTCAATCCATGTGATCAAGTCATGTCGTCCTTCGAGCGGCTTCGGCACAGCGATCTTGTCCGGCGAAAATTTGAAGTAGCCGTACGCCGGCGCGATGCCTCCGTCCCGACCAGCCGACGCATGAGTCGCCGATGTCGGCCTGGCTCCACTCCGCTGAGGAGAAATGCGTCGACCATCGATGTTGCCGTTCGAACTTCCCGCTGCCGCCGAGCGCTGAACTCGTGCCTGCATTCCGCCGACGCCAAAGTCAGCGGCCCGAATCACTCCACGAAGCCTCGTGCTGCCTTCGCTGCCGACTTGGTTACCACCGTCGACCTGGTCGTCGACGCCCCCTTCGTTGCGCGCCGGTCGGGGTGTGGCGGGCAGACCATCCGCCTCAGTACGGGTCGTTGGGTGCTCGCGCGCCCACTGCACGCGGGTTCCAAAGAGCATAACCTCCAAGGTTGCTCCGCCGTACTCGCCAGCTGCGTGGCGTGCCCGAACGTCATCTAACCGCGCCTGCAGGGTATCCTCTACGACTGCAGCGACCTCCTCCTGGTCGACCATGGCGGTTTAGACTGCCGGCCTACAACAACTTAGGTATTGAGCACTAAAGTCGGCTACTCTGAAGGTTCTAACGCGGGGCCGTTCCACGCTCACCGCACCATGCGGAGAGTCACCCTACAACGGGTGTGAACTACGAAGGAGGGCACAGGGTTGTGTGGGTGATCGTAGCGCTCTAGTAGCGTTCTAACAGAGTTCGTACTACTTGCTGTGTTCACAGAGGAATTTGGCAAGAGTTTCCACTAAGGAAATTGAAAGAACATTGAAAATTGAGAATTAGAGTACAAGAATGAGCATGCAAAGTGATATCTCTGGAATGGCATTGCAACCCCTAGCAACCATTCTGCAAGGCGAATAACCAGCACTGCATCAGAGCGGTTCGCCAACGCTGAAACAGAGCGGTCTGCCAGCGTAGCAGAAGGGCGACATGCCAGCGCTGCAGCAGGGCGGCCTGCCAGCGCTGCATTCGCAGGTGAATATCTGCGCAGGTGTGCACCTGTCGAGTAGGTGCAGGTGTCAGAATCCCAGTCACTAACCACTGGGATAAAATGGCTTGTTTATATAGCGGGTGAGTGCGCCCATAACCCCCCAGGCCGACGTGCCTGTAACCCTTCCCTAGGATCATCGGGGATCCCCAGTGGACCTCTGACACCCCCCCGCACTGGGATGCCCGAAGTGCACACACCGGGAATCGAACCCGAGACCTTCGCTCTGATACCATGTCAGAATCCCAGTCACTAACCACTGGGATAAAAGGGCTTGTTTATATAGCGGGTGAGTGCGCCCATAACCCCCCAGGCCGACGTGCCTGTAACCCTTCCCTAGGATCATCGGGGATCCCCAGTGGACCTCTGACAGCAGGTAGACGGTTACACCGTCAGAGACATTGCGCAGGTGCCAGGTAGAAAACGCTCCGACGGTTTCCCCAGATGTCCGCCGTCGAGCACGTGATGCCATTTCGGAGGTCGAATTTCGCTAAGAGCCACCTGAGCGAATTTCGCATGCCCTCGCAGAGTTTCGCAGTCGCGCGAATTTGGCCGACCAGTTCGCCGAGCTGACGCTCGCCGAACAGCGCCCTTCGATCAGAGAACGCGGCTCCTCGGACAGCACCCCGTCCGTCAGAGATCGCGCGACCCAGAAGCAGATCAGAAGACGAGCTCGTCGAACAGCACCCCGTCGACCAGAGCTCGTTGACGGGCTGGTGAATCAGAGGACAACCTTCCTCGAAAACCACCCGCGGTTTCAGAGGACGGGCTGCTCCAATGCGACGATCACTTCGTCGAATTCACCACGTCGTCGCAGAGAATGCCTACGCCCAAGCGAGGGCGGGGCCTTTCACTCCGACAGGCGCTACCCTTCCCCTTGTGCCACCATCCCTAGTGCCACTGTCCCAATTTAACTTCACCCTTCCTCCCTTGCAGGGCAGTCCCATTTCCCTTCTCCTCCTCCACTCCCTTATGACGTCGTCCCAATCCCCCTCTCATCCTTTCCTTCCTTGCACCGTAGTTCTACTCACCCTTTCTTCTCCCTTCCTCCCTTGCAGGGCAGTCCCATTTCCCTTCTCCTCCTCCAATCCCAAAGGACATCGTCCCAATCCCCCTCTCATCCTTTCCTTCCTTGCACCGTAGTTCTACTCACCCTTTCTTCTCCCTTCCTCCCTTGCAGGGCAGTCCCATTTCCCTTCTCCTCCTCCAATCCCAAAGGACATCGTCCCAATCCCCCTCTCATCCTTTCCTTCCTTGCACCATAGTCCTACTCACCCTTTCTTCTCCCTTCCTCCCTTGCAGGGCAGTCCCATTTCCCTTCTCCTCCTCCAATCCCAAAGGACATCGTCCCAATCCCCCTCTCATCCTACTGCTCCCTTGAACCACCATCCCGGTCCCCCTTTCCTCTCCTTACCTCCGTTGCAGAGCAGTCCCCTTTCCGTTCTCCTCCTCCAATCCCAAAGGACATCGTCCCAATCCCCCTCTCATCCTTTCCTCCCTTGCACCATAGTCCTACTACCCATTACTTCTCCCTTCCTCCCTTGCAGGGCAGTCCCATTTTTTTTCTACTTTCATCCCTTGTGCCACTGTCCCAATCCTTCTCACATCCTTTTCTCCCTTGCAATCTCGTTTTAATCCCCCTTTCATCTCCCTTCCTCCTTTGAAGGGTTGTCCCATTCCCCTAACCCAAGGGGGGGAATCCATGGTGCCACTGTCACCATCCCTCTCTCATCCTTTCCTCTCTTGCGCTATTGTCCCATTCACCGTTTCTTCTCTTTTCCTCCATTGCAAAGCAGTCCCATTTTCCCACACCTCCTCCCACCCCTTGTGACACTGTCCCAATCCCTCTCTCATCCTACTGCTCCCTTGAACCAACATCTCATTCCCCCTTTCTTCTCCCTACCTCACTTGCAGGGCAGTCCCCTTTCAATTCTCCTACGATCATCCCTTGTGCCACCGTCCCGATCCCTCTATCATCCTTTCCTCCCTTGCAGTCCCGTTTCATTCTCCCTTTCTTCTCTCTTCCACCCTCCCTCCCCGGGTTCCCCTGCGCCCATGTACCCTCTCTGATCCCTGCTCCAATCTCTCTTCCCAATTTCATAGGCTAGCAATCTGGTCGGCATAGCCACGTCGACTGATCCAAGTGTTAAGCTTAGTGAACTGGTTGCTGACATCGCCAAGAAGCACCGAACGAAGCAACTGGGAATATGTAGAAATATGCGGGAGCCTGTAGCGCTGCTACGTAGCGGAGCAACGATCATGTTTGGAGGCAATCGGGAGGCCTCATGCGGGGACCTGATCTACCTATACACGCTGGCGGCACCACGCCTCACGAAGAAACTCATGACTGTTGCATCAGAAAAGGGTGAGTAAGTTGGATAATGGTGTGCTTGCATCAGGATTACATCGTTCAATGTGTTAGTTTCTTAGAAGCCAGCACCCGCATAGCCCGTATTCCATAGTTCATTCATGCTGCGTTCACTAATAACCCATTGTGCGTCCAGGGACGGACCGGCGTACAGCTGCTACCGTTGCTCGCATGCGGCTCACGGCACATGGACAGGATCTACAGTACGGTGACGCGGATTCAGTCGGCAAGGTGGCTGATCTCATGTGCAAAGCACCGCGAGCAATGCGCCCTGTAACGTACGGATTCGAGAAATGTTTTTTCAACAGTTCGGGGAAGTTGCAACTCGAGCGTGGCAACAACCATGGGGGGGACCGACGTGGACCCAAGTTCAGACACTTCAAAGAAACAGGTAAAATAATGCGATCGTGGTGTGTATATTAACGTGCACGTTGTCTTGCTGGGTTCGGGAGCGGCAAGGTGCGAATGGCATACGTTGAACCCTGTTTTTGACACCCTTTAATTGGCAGGAGAACTACTCCAAGACCCAACTCCCCCAGTAGAGAGCGTACTGGGCACGGACGTTGAGGATGCTGCCGTTTTTGTGCTGGAGGAGGACATGTTGCCCATCCCTGAGGAAGACGAGGGTGAGGAGGTAGAAGCGGACGATGCAGAAGCCCTCGATGATCAGACACAGCCAAGCAGCACCCCTGCCAGGTATGCGTTCCGTAGACACATAACACCCTGGTGCAGCGGGTTTGCCATGGGCGGCAGCCCATTTGTGGCTCAGATGTTATGCTGGCGGGAAGGGCTACGAGGGTGTTCCGTTGGTAGTAAGGAAGTGTCATGAGCTGCGGGCCATGTGGTACACTGGCGGTATGTAGGTGCTCTTGGTTTGGTGCCCATGTGTTATTCTGGTGGTAAGGAGGTGACATGGGCTGCAGCCCATGTCACGCGCTGATGGTAAGTTGGTGCCCACGATTGCAGCCTAGGGTGTAGGACACCCTAGGCTGGAGGTGTGAAGGGCTGCATCAAGGACACTACTCTCAACATTGTTAGCGCATTTGAGACAAGACAGCAATAGTTCTCTGACGCTCATTGGAACTTGCCCCCCAAATTGCATTTCCACGTGCTTGATAGGGTGGACGCGACTCAGGATGAGGCGCGCGTTCAGGGGTTGGATGAGGCTGAGCACGTCGCTGTCACTGAAGAGCATGCGGAGGTACCAGTCGGTGAGCCACATGATGAGGGCGGCACGGTTGGTGTGGGGACCATAGATTCCACTGCTGGGGAAGCGGTGCATGAGGAGTCAAGCCCAGACAGGTATGAACGTCATGCAGCAAAGCTGGTGCCTTGGAATGCAGCCCATGCGTTACTCTTGTGGTAAGTAGATGCCGCGGGCTTTCGCCCCATGTATTACTCCGGTGGTAAGTAGGTGCCTTTGGCTCATAGCACTTGTTTTCTCCATGCGATAGGGAAGTGCCATGGGCTGCAGCCAGACAACTAGTTTTGCTAGTGTTAGCGTGTTTGGCACATTGCATGCCATGCTTAGATGCGAATTACTGTTAAAGACCTGGCTCCAGAATTGCATATATGTGTGCTTCACAGGGTGGATACGTCTCAGGATGAGGCGCGCGTACAGGGGTGTGATGAGGCTGAGCATGTCGCTGTCCCCGAAAAGCATGGAGCGGTACCAGTCGGTGCGCCGCATGATGACCGCGACACGGTTGAGGTGGGGGGCGCAGATTCCACTGCTGGGGAAGCCGTGCATGAGGAGTCTACCCCTGCCAGGTATGAACGTCATGCAACAAAGCTGGTGCCATGGGCTGCAGCCCATGCGTATTATGGTGGTAACGAGGTGGCATAGGCTGCAACCCATTTGTTACATTGGTGGTAAGAAGGTACCCTGGCTGGTGTGGATGTGTGTTACTCCGCCTATCATGATGCCATGGTCATCGGTCCCATTCCCACGTTCGTCCATTATCAGTATGTGGATTTGCTGTGTTCCACCATTGTCCTGGAGTGTGCTTGACAGGGTGGATGCTGCACAACGGACTGATGGGTCGGGCCGTAAGAAGCGTTCCCTTCCCGGATGGCCTGAGACGCCTAGTCTTGCTGAGCTCTCAGGGTCTCTGGTATGTCTACTAGATCCGCTGCTGATCGTCCAGTTCTTCATGACCCTGGGTTCTTCATTGTTGCTATGGCATATACTCTCATGATTCCATCATACCGTTCTAAATCTCCGCTCTCCTTGATGGTTGCTGACATTTTATTACCGCAGGTTTAATGAGTATGTTGTGGAGACGGACAAGCTTATCACGGACGTTGTATCATCCAGGAAGCGTTCGGTATGTTTGAGGCGCATACGTCATTGTTTGTGTATGATCTTGAGTTGTTTCCAACCACTGTAATCTGTTTGTTATCACATTCCCTTTGTCTCCGCCTCTACATCCAAATCACGCCCCCACTTTCCTCCCCACATGCTTGACACCTATTATCACGGTTGCAATCCGTATCTCGCCTTCCCACCCGATTCCCAACAGGCCGGTGGAAGAGCAAGGGGACGTGAGGCCGAAGCAGGAGGATGTTGTGAAGGGATAGGAGCCGCAGGGAGTGAGAAGGCGAGGGAGAGGGGGATGGAGGGAGGGAGGGATGGAAAAGGAGGAGGAGAGAGGGATGGAGGGAGAGCGGACGGGATAGGAGTTTGACTAACCGGGGGGGAGGAGAGGTGAGCACGTCGGGAGGAAGACCGAGCGGCCGGAGGGGAGCGGAGGCACCCGGGGCGGGTAGAGGAGCATCGGGGCAGAATGAGTCTGGTGGGGAAGAGGTTGGAGCGCTCAAGAGCTTTGGCATGTATGGGTGCCGAGGGTTAGGGGGAGGAGAGGTGAGCACTTCGGGAGGACGACCGAGCGGCCGGAGGGGAGCGGAGGCTCCAGAGGCGGGTAGAGGAGCAGCGGGGGTGAAGGAGGATGGTGGGGAGGCAGCTGGCGCTCTCCGTTTCAATTGGCACGTGCGCGTGCCGTGGGAAGGGGGAAGTGAGGAAATGAGGGGGGGAGGAAGACCTCGCGACAGGAGGCCGGCGGCCGCCGGAGGGAGGGGAAAAAGAGCAGCGGGGGTGAACGAGTTCGATGAGAAACCTGAGTAGCTGAGTGATGGCGCGCATGAATGGCTTGAATCCCCTTGCTCCGTGTGTATGTTTTTCATAGACTCTCCCTTTGCGCTTTTTAAAACTGACCACAGTTGGTCTTTGTTGTTAGCTTTTCTCTTAGTGGTGTCTTGTACGAACATCACAGCCGCGGTATCTACGAGGTGCCTGGGCTCTCTTCGTCTTTCAGACGTACCTTGATTCGCCCAAGTGTCTCGCACGACCAAGGTGGATCGAACCAGTCTACTCAGTGTTTTCCGCACACTTATCCTCCCCCACCCGGACAGCGAGCAAGTTGTACCCGGGTTTTATTACCATTACTGTTAAAGATGTACATATTCCGCAGGGTAGTCCTTGTTAAAACTCCAGCAGGCTCACGTTGCAGGCTGCCATTGTATGCATACAACCACTACACACAACCGCACATGTCTCGAGGCGAGCTCGTGATCCCTCTCTCTACCGAGGAAACAAATTGGTTCGCCCACCCTTGTCCACCCGACCCTGTCCGCCTCTTCCTCTGCCGTTCACGCTTCCTCATCTTTCTTCGGCTTTCCCATCCCCTGGCAGGTCGTCGCCTTCCCTCCCTCCTCCCGTCCACATCTCCCTCGCTTTCCCCAGCGTTTTAGTTCCTTACTTTTCACGGCTTCCTCCCACTTCGTTTTCTCGGCCCACACTGCTCTCTCACGCAGCGGGGAAGGACGTCCCCACTTGCACCTCCGGTTTGTACCCCTGCCCCATGAGCGGCAGCCATCTCGCGCTCGGCTGCCACGGTGACTGGCATTTGTGCGTGTATCGTAGCTCGCAGCATGAGATGGCGGACCCACTCACGGAAGCGCTGTGCAACAGGGACGTAGGACAGGGATAGCAAGAAGAATGTTTCCAATGACAAGGTTGGGACATGGGGGGACGACATATAGTAGCGCAGTGAAGGGCGTTTTGACATGGAAACCAGGGGCGAGGGTGGATGACAATGGGTAGCAGTGGAGATGATGGTCTGACAGCAGTAGCAAGAGGATGATGGAATGACAACGGTAGCAAGGTGTATGGGAGGATGACATGGGTCGCAAAGCAGAGTGGTAAGTACTCAGAGATTGCAGGGGGGAGGGTGGATGACAATGCTAGCAATGTGGGGAGGAGAGAATGACAAGGGAAGGCAGGAGGTATGGAAAATGACTAGGGTCGCAGCAGGGGGAAAGAGAGTGACTAGGGGGGAAAGAGAGTGAGCAGGGGTGTGTGAGAGAGCACCGGACAGAGCAGCAGTGGCGTGTGAGAGTGCAAAGGACAGAGGGACCAGAGGGGTATGGGTGGGCAATGGAGCTTGGCAGCAGGGTGTGTGGGCGCACAAAATCAGAGGTGGGATGGCGATTGCTTGTGTACGGGCCCTCCCCCCGCATCATCTCACTCAGCCCCATTCCCTCTCGGCTGATCCGCCCTGCGCTTGGCCCGCCCCTCGCGACACTCCATCTGCCCTCCGTCACCACCAAGCCCCTGGCTCTGTCCACACTTTTTCTTCTTCCTCCTCTACTCCCCCGCGTGGCAGTCGCAACGGCAAAAACCACTCCAGAAGCGTACGAATGGTAACAGTAACCCAACGCCACATTCCCCCAGTGTTAAGTAATGGTCGACATGTTGGAGACGTGGGTGACTCGACGTAATGTTCACTTTCCCCACACCAAACGATGGCGCAGGTGCACCAGCGACTGCAGGGGAAGGGGCGGAGGCGGGGGTGGGAAGGGGATGTTGGTGAGGGCCTGGGGGGGAGAGGGCGAAGTGAAAGGCGACGGGAGGGGGATGTGAAGGCAACGGGCGGGGGAATAGGGGGAGCAGGGGGAACATGGGTGACAAGTAGGGAACGAGAGTGAGCAGAGGGAAAGAGAGTGCAGAGGATGCGAAAGAGAGTAAGCTGGGGGGGGGGAGAGTGAGCATGGGAGTGAGCCGCGAAAAGAGAGGCGAGCAGAGGGGGAAAGAGAGCGAGAAAGGGGGAACATGGGTGAGAATGGGTTGAACGAAAGGGAACAGAGAGTAAACAGGGGGAGAGATGGGTGTGTACAGGGGGGTCGGGATGGCGAGGGGGAGAGAGTGAGCAAGGGGCAAGGGAGTGAGCATGGGGATATAGGGGCGAGCCCAGGGGGAAATAGACCGAGCAGGGGGAAAATGGGTGGGATTGGGGGAAAGGGCGGGTGGTAGTGAGGGAAAGGGAGGATTAGCTTAGGGGAAAGTGAAGATTGGCATGGGGGAAAGGGAGGGTTGGCATGGGGGAGAGGGTGTGCGAAGCAAGGGATATAAGGGCGTGACATACGTGTAGATGAGGGAGAGCTATTGAGGGGGTAGGGGATTGCGAAACGTGGGGGCAAGGTAGTGCGAAAGGAGGGGAATAGGGAGTGCTATCGAGGGCGAGAGCGAGCATGGAAAGAGGGGGGAAAGGGCGGACAGTCGAGGGGGAAATGGCGTGCGACACGCAGGGGAACGGGAGTGAAGGGAGGGAAGGGAGGGACGGGAAAGAAGGGAGAGAAAAGAGAGAAGGGAGAGACAGGAGATAGCAAGGAGGGATGAGAGGGAAGGGAGAGAAGGGAGAGAAGGGAGAGGTGGTAAGGGGGGAGAGAAGGGCGGGAAGGGGAGAGAGAAAGGAGGGAAGGGAGGGAAGGGGGAGAAGGGAGGGAAGGGAGGGCAGGAGGGAAGGGAGGGACGGGAGAGAAGGGAGGGAAAGGAGAGACGGGAGAGAAGGAAGTCGGGATGAGATGGGAGGGATGAAAGGGTGGTAGAGGGAGAGAGATGGGCGGGAAGGGAGAGAAGGTAGAAAATGGAGAGAAGAGAGGGAAGGGAGGGAAGGGAGGGAAGGGAGGGAAGGGAGGGACGGGATAGACGGGAGAGACGGGAGAGACAGGATATAGCAAGGAGGGATGAGAGGGAAGGGAGAGAAGGGAGTGAAGGTAAGGGAGGAGAGAAAGGCAGGACGGGAGAGAAGGGAGGGAAGGGAGGGAAGGGAGGGAAGGGAGGGAAGGGAGGGACGGGAGAGAAGGGAGGGAAAGGAGAGACGGGAGAGAAGGAAGTCGGGATGAGATGGGAGGGATGAAAGGGTGGTAGGGGGAGAGAGATGGGCGGGAAGGGAGAGAAGGTAGAAAATGGAGAGAAGAGAGGGAAGGGAGGGAAGGGAGGGAAGGGAGGGAAGGGAGGGAAGGGAGGGAAGGGAGGGACGGGATAGACGGGAGAGACAGGAGAGACATGATATAGCAAGGAGGGATGAGAGGGAAGGGAGAGAAGGGAGTGAAGGTAAGGGAGGAGAGAAAGGCAGGACGGGAGAGAAGGGAGGGAAGGGAGGGAAGGGAGGGAAGGGAGGGAAGGGAGGGAAGGGAGGGAAGGGAGGGAAGGAGAGAAGCGAGGGACGGGAGAGAAGGAAGGGAAAGGAGAGATGGGAGAGCAGGGAGAGAAGGGAGGGAAGGGGAAAGAGGGAGTGAAGGGAGATAGGGGCGAGGAGGGAGGGATTGGAGGGAAAGGAGGGAGGGAACGGAAGGGAGGCAAGGGAAGAAGGGAGAGAAGGGAGGGAAGGAGGGTTGTGGAGTTAGGGAGGGAAGGGAGAGACGGGTGTGACGGGAGGGATTGAAGGGAAAGGATGGAAGGGAGGGAAGGAGGGAAGGGGGAGAAGGGGGAGAAGGGGATTACGGGAGGGTAGGGTTGTCGCACGACCCGGAAAAGGGATTGGGGAGGCGGGAATGCGCATCTGGCGGCGGGATTGGCGAAGCGGGCGGCGGGAACGCGAATTTGGCGTGTTGAAAGGGAATCGGGCGGCGGGAAGGGGCGGTCGGGCGGCCCGCCCGGAATCAATGGGCGGGAAAGAGGATTCAGGCGGCGCGAAAGGGGATTCGGGCGGCAATATAGGGGAACCGGGCGGCGGGAACGTGAATCGGGCGTCGCGAAGAGAAGTAGGGCGAAGGTAGAGGGAACGCGGCCGGCGGGTCAGAAGAATCGGGAGGCACGAGGGGGAATCGCCGGGCGGAGAGACCAGGGAGTCGAGCGGCGGGAAGGGGGATCGCCGGGCAGCGTGACTGGGGATTCGTGGCGGCGGGAAAGGGAAAAAAGGGTGGCGGGGAGGGCCATGGGGATTCGGGGGGAATAAAAGGGGAGCCTGGCCGCATAAATGGGCTATGGCGAAACCTCCACCATTTCCCATTCTCCCTTCCCAACGCGAAATGCTCCGCATTGTAGGCGCAGGATAAAAACCCTCGCATGTGCTGCACATTTCCTTGCACGCAATCTCATTCCGCCGGACAACTAGTTATAATTCTCAACTTTTAGTAATGCGCGTTTTGAGTGCTCACTGGCGCGCGGCACATCCCAAGTTCACGGCCCTTCGTTTCACGGCGCGTCCCATGCCCCATGAGCGCGACGGATCGCTTTCCACCCTACTCACTCTCGTCTTCCGCGGAGCGCTCCGCGTATTCGGCGGGTTCGGCGGCGATGCCTGCACTCGAATCACTATCCTCTTGGCGCGTTGGTCGCAAGCCTAGATTTCTAAGTTGATGTGGTTGCTACCAATGATTCCTGAGTATGTCATACTACGACGTCCTACTTCTTGCTTGCACCAAGCCGTCACTGGACTCGGCAGGCAATGGGAAAATGTCGCAGAGTGTGTTTGGCGATGTTTCACGTTTGGCAATTGTGTCGCCTGACAATTGTGGTAACAGCGTTGTCGCCCAAAAACGGGCGAACAGCGTTCAGCGTTTTCGGGAACCCAGCTACTCGCCATCCAATTGTAAGCTTCTTCCCAACCAACCTTCCTACCTTTGAAACCTGTGGACCCTGGGTTTTAAGAAGTAAGGCAAGAATGACTAAGGTCGCGCGTTGGAGGAATAACGTGAGTAGAAAAAAGGAGAGAGGAAGAAAGGAGGAGGGGAATAGGGGAAAAATGATAGGAGGAAGAAAAACAGGGAAGAAGGAAGAAAAAGCAGCACACACAACCCCAAGAAAACCCCAATAGCACACACATTTAAAACACCATCAAGCCCTCCCATCAAAGCACCCCAACTGCACTCCCATCGAACCAAACCTCCCCCCCTAAACCCACTCCCTAAACCCGCATGTCTACCAAGTATGGTGCATCCGCCCACGGAGCATCCCATCCCATCTCCTCCTCAACATCCTCCCGCTCCACCCAAACAGCCTCTGGGCCTCTCATCATCGACGCCGCGCGTAACAAGATCACACGCGCCTGAGCCCGTTGCAAAGCCACACCCACAGCCGCTTTGAGCGATCCGAGCAAATAAGCCGAGAAACCCTTTCCCGTAGCTCGCGCCGCCCCTTTCGTCTTTGCTATCTCGATCTGCGCGTCACCCTGCTTCTTAAGCCACCGTCCAAAACTCCCCCCCAAGCATCCCCATGTCTCAGCAATGAGTGGTGTGAACTGCACTCCCCTATGCCGCTGTAGAAGCGATTTGTAGTCCGCCGTCTTCCGCTTTTCTCTCTCTCTCGCGGCAAAACCCACCTTGCGACCAATCTGTCCATGGTGCTGCGCGGATAGCGAGATAGGATCTACCACACTAACCTCCAGCGCGTGCTCCTCCCCCTCCCTCAGTTTCCGAACCGCCACATCAACCCTCTTCCCTGGGAGCAACGTGTCGTCTTCCATGGTCACAATCCCACCCGCACCCTTAGCTATCTTCGCCACCACAAATTTAACCGCATCGTGAACACGAGAAGGTGCATACTGATACTTGCAGCGAAGGGCATGATGCGGGTCAGAGGGATCAGCAAACTCAAACCCACACGCGCACTTGCCGGCCACTATCAGCTGCTGAATAGGGAGGCCTAGGCGCATGGACGCGCAGATGCTCCACTCGGCTGCGGTGAAGGTAGCCTCCTCGTGCGAAGGAACGGCAGAAACCCACGCCCCAGCCCCCGGGCCCTGAAGGGATGTCAAACGGGCCAGGGTGGCATCGTTGTGGGCCATGCCTCGAAGAGATTGGAGGCTCTCAACCGCCAGGCGACGGTGTTGTGTGGGGAAGAGCAGCATAGGCGGATCAGCGGTGCACAAGGCAAGGGGTGGCATCTCCTGCCGAACCGACTGTGGAAGCAGATCCACTGCTCTCGCAAACCAGGGGTCCAACAAGGTCGTAGCCTCGGGCGTGCGGAAAAACTCCTCAAACATCCGCTCCTCACCTGCCACCCCCAACCGAGCCACATCGCTCACTGCTTGGCACCAGCCACACGCATACAACAGAGGACTAAGGTCAGCCGCAGATCGAATGCCGAACCCCCCGAGTCTGGCAGGAAGGTGCAACTGTAAACGAGCCATCTGGGACTAAAGTAAGGCAAGAATGATGAGATTAGGTCAAGGTTGGGGTACAAGACTAGAGTGTCGAGAAAAACTTTGTACCCCCTAAGGCTATCCCCAATATAGCCTAGATAATGATATGCATATGTTTTGACACACCCCCATAGGCGAAATGGGGGATAGCCAGAGCAAGCAACGGTCACAAGACCAGTCAAGAGACAAAACACAGCTCAGGGTGGATCACAACGTCACCACACACACTGAGCACAAGCAAACGGCCACAGGGCCAGTCCACATGCAGAGGTATATAAGCAACAAGAACAGTACAGTGATCTCTAGCTAGCAAGAGCCAACATGCAGGTATATATATAGATCACAGTACAAACAAAGGCTACAGCAAGTGTGGAAACGTCGGCACAAGGCCCAACAAAGTACAAAAGCGCTGATGATCACCAGACAGAAGTGCCTTGGTGAATATATCAGCGGTGTTGGCCCGAGTGTCCACGTGACGGAGACGAAGCTGGCCTCGCTGCTGCAACTCTCGAGCCAGGAAGTAACGCAGAGCAATGTGCTTCGTTCTGTGCTCCAGTCTGTGCTCCTCACACAAGGCAATGGCAGCCTTGTTGTCGACGTATAGCACTGGAGGAGAACGAGGCCGCTCTCCCAGGTCGGTCAGCAGGTAGGTGAGCCAGCGTAACTTCTGTGCAGCCATGGCTGTGGCGTAGATCTCAGCCTCACAACTAGAGCTGAGAACTGAAGACGAGCGAGTAGAACGCCAAGAAACTGAACCAGAGCCAAGGCTGAAGGTGTAACCCTGTGACGACCGCTGAGTAGCCTGGTCGTCAACCCAAGAAGCGTCTGAGTGCCCAGTGAGAACAACTGGGCTCTTCCCACCAAGCACTAGCCCCATGCCTGATGTACTGCACAAGTAGCGCAGTACCCTCTTAGCAGCAGCCATGTGCTCAGGTCGGTGCCGACCAGGAGCCACGTAGCGAGCCAGAAGGCCAAGAGGGTACGCGAGGTCAGGACGAGTGCAGGTCATCAGGTACATGAGGCAACCCACTAGCTCTGGGTAAGGACCACTCGGCTCTACGGACTCGTCCAAAGGTGGAGCTGAGAGCGAGTGACCTATCGCCAGGGGAGTGGCCTGTGCTGAGGACCAGGTGAAGCCGAAGCGCCGAAGGACCTGCTGCACCATGTGTGACTGAGTCAGTGTGATGGTGCGGCGTGCTCTGTCCCGGGTGATCTGCAAGCCAAGGTAACTGCGCAGCTCACCCAGGTCTGTGCACGTGTGTCTCTTCTGCAGCTCGGACTTCACCAGGGCAAGAGCCTCAGTGTCAGCAGTGGCAAAGACCAAGTCGTCGACGTACACGAGGATGTAGAACGGCGGCAGCGAGGTGTCGGTGCGCAGAAACAACGACGGGTCCGCGGTCGACGGAGCAAACCCAAGAGCCGCAAGTGTAGTCCTCAGTGTGTCGTGCCACTCACGTGGCGCCTGGCGGAGACCGTAGACTGGCCGCCGGAGGCTCCACTTGGTACCAGGAGGGAACGACCCAGTGAAGCCAGGAGGGCGGCGCAGCCAGATCTCCTCGTGCAGGCTGCCCTGTAAGAAAGCTGTGCTGAAGTCCAGAGAGTGAAGCTCGTAGTCACGCTGAGCGACAACGTGCAGCAGTACCCGAAGAGTGGTCATCTTTGGGGTAGGGGAGAAGGTCTGGAAGAAGTCGACTCCCTCTCGCTGACTGAAGCCTCGAGCAACGTAACGAGCCTTGAAGACAGGCGGAGAACCTGGCGGCCGATTCACCCTGAAAATCCACATGCCACTGACGATGTTCGTCCCAGGAGGGGGAACATTGTGGACGTAGGTGCCTGTGGACTTCCAGGAAGCCATCTCTGCGTCCATGGCTGTCTGCCACTGAGAGGAGTACTCACCCGCGATTGCCTCAGCGTAAGAGCGCGGGGTCGGGATGTCTGGTGCATCCGGGTCTCCCTCAGGGGCAAGCAGCATGGCCACGAGATGGGGCGCAGCGGCTGCAAGACACTCAAGGTCCTCCTGCCTGTCCTCAAGGACGTCTGTGCCAAGAGCACACTCACCCCCGACGGACGGAGGACAGACAGACTCAGACTCAGCAACAAGACTGGCAGCGTAGTCTAGACGACAAGCAGCAGCAAAGTGAACAAGCTCAGCGACCGAGGCAAACGCAGCAGCAGACTCAAACAACGGGTCAGTGACAACAGTGGCTAACAGACGCGTGACTGTAGGGTGCTCAGTACGAAACCGGTTAGACGCAGGGTCCGGAACGGTAGGCAGAGAGGACGCAGGGGGAGACGGCAGAGGAACAGACTGCGGAGCAGAGGAAGGACGACGGACAACAAGGTGTGCACTGGGGACAGTCGGCTGACGTGAACGAGAAACACGACGACCAGTACGACCAGAACGAACAGGCGAGACAGGACACGACGCAGGCTCACGACGCTCAGCAAGACTACCTGTCTGCTCAGTGTAAGGAGAGGGAGCAGGCAGCGGTGAGCCAGGCTGTAACGGAAGACCAGTAGACGACGGGAGAGTAACAACCTGACGAAGAGCAGAGTCAGGCGGCGGCAGAGACGACGGAGACGGCGGAGCGAAGAACAGTCGTGTCGGCGCAGCTGCACCAGTACCAGCAGCTCCAGCAGCTCCAGCACCTCCAGCAGCTCCAGTGCCTCCAGCAGCTCCAGCACCTCCAGCAGCTCCAGTGCCTCCAGCAGCTCCAGCAGCTCCAGTCGCAGAACCGGTACCTCCAGTGGCAGCACACCAGAACCAGCGTCACCAGCAGCAGCACCCCCAAAACCGGCACCTCCAGTCCTAGGGTCTCCAACCGCGGGGTC